GTCATCTGATAATCCAAGCCACTAAAACTTCAACTTTCTGCCACTATAGATCTATGTATAGGTCACAGAAGACACTCAGTCAAGAAACACAGAAATCTTAACCAGTATATTTGTTTTTCAAGTGTAGGCCCCTCTCACATTTCTGTCTACTTTTTTTGTTTTTTTGTTGCCAGATTCATTCAGGTTATTCCTACACATATGCATGTTAGTGCTTAGCCAAATATTTGAGCAGATCTTATACTCGGATTTTGGGTCTCCCCTTTTCTGCACTTCTAGAATTTCCTCCCTTAATTTCCAGCCACTCTGCCAGGTCTGAACTCCTCTTTGAGCTAATAAGACTGTCAGTTTTCTGCCATATGAGATCCAGGGATAGGGTAATTCCCTCAGGCAAAAACATCACAAGCTTTGCAATTCTTACTCATTATAGCATGGTCTTTTAAAGGTAAACCCTACTTTCTACCAGCTTCTGATCACTTTCCATTGCCTTCAAATAGTTTTCTAGATTTTATAATTGTTAATCTCTGGAGGCTTCACACAACCAACCATTTCATTCTACCATTAATTAGAATTAGAAAGACTGTTATATATTTTCACGTTTGAAATATTCTATAATAAAACATTGTACACAAAAATACACACACAAATATCATCTGAATGTACAGAGATGACATACATGTTCATTTTCTTGATCATGGTGGTAGTTTTTACAGGTACATACTATATATCTAAACTCAGTAAATTGTAGACTTTAAAATTGCACAGTTTATTGTATGCCAATAAAGCTGCAAAAAAAAGAAAAAAAAAAAAAAAAAGATGTGGAGGAAAACCTAATCGATTAAAAACCTAGTTGACTATAACAGTTTTTGATTATACATAAGTAGTTCTGCTCCACAAAGCTATGGCTAGGGATTGATATTTATAACTTAAGAAAGATACTTTAAAATGAAAAACAGGAATACGCAATCCCATTTTTTCCTAACAATCAGTTTGTACGAGAAGAACATGTAGAATTATGCCAAATTTAGGAAATAATACTGAAATTGTAACTATATCTAAATTGTGCCATAGTTATTAATATCATTATCTGGGCTTTAATTTGACTTTATTTTAGGACTTTGACAATTTGAATTGGAAATCTAACTTAAAATTATTAGGGGAAGAGATTTTGCCAACTTCTTCATATCTCTCATATCCCACCACTGGACTGTAAGCTCAATGAAGGCAGGAATATTTTCTGTTTTGTTTATTACTGATCTCCTGGAACATACAGCAGTGCTTGGCATATAATAAGGGTTTAAAAAAAAAATGTACTCCACCCAGGCTGGAATACAGTGGCGCTATCTTGGCTCAGGGCAACCTCTACCTCCCCGGTTCAAGCAATTCTCCTGCCTCAGCCTCCCGAGTAGCTGGGACTACAGGCACCCACGACCACACCCAGCTAATTTTTATATTTTTAGCTGAGACAGGGTTTCACCATATTAGCCAGGCTGATCTCAAACTCCTGACCTTGTGATCTGCCCACCTTGGCCTCCCAAAGTGCTGGGATTACAGGCGTGAGCCACCTCGCCCAGCTGGCCTCAAAAAAAGTTTTTGCACTAATAAATGAGAAAGGTAGAGTGTTACTAAATAATTTAGATAATCAAGTGTTCTCTGAGAAGAGGTTTGAGGCAATAGAAATCAGCTTTGTCTAGAGACAAATTATGTTAAGTGATTTGCTCCTGGGAAATAGTTTTACAAACTTTTTTTTTAAATACTCTCTTCAGGGCATTGAACACCATTTTTGACTCCTTTATACCTAACATCAGAAGCAGAAAATTTCAGACCTCAAACAATAGAAAAATTCAGCAATGTTTGGAATTACTGTACTTGGTTCATTTTCCAATTATATACTACTATTATATATCTATAATAATAGCTACTATAATTTTATATATACTATTGAAAAGATTAAAATCCAGGAAAAAAATTATTCAAGTTAATCATCATAGCTTTTGAAACAAGTTTTGACTCAAGTAAGATGGCAAGATAAAGTTGATTTGGATGCATCATTTTTTAATTCCCTTGTAAAAATAGGAAACCTATTGATTGACTGACTGATTGACAGGGTCTCATTCTGTCACTGCAACCTCCTCCTCCCAAGCTCAAGCAGTCCTCCTGCCTCAAGCCTCAAGTAGCTGAGACTACCGGCGCATGCCACAATGCCTAGATAATTCTTTTATTTTTTGTAGAGATGAAATTTCACCACATTGCTCAGGCTGGAAACCTATTTTATTAAAATATCTTTTTATCTGTGAACAGTTAGTCTTTAGCTTTATAGAATAAGAAGCTTTAAAAACAACTGATCTTCCACAGATTGAATGAGTAGACTATATCTTATGGTATCTTATGTTTTAAATTCTCTATCTTTATACTTACCAAAGGCCTTCCTTATAATCTTATAAGCTCATTTATCCTGATTCTCCTTCAGATAATCATAAAAATGAGAAAGGACCCTTGAATGGAGCAAGAAAGATTAAAGTAACCATTGATTGGCCTTCTACAACCATAATTATTTTTTCTCGTAGTTTTATAAGTAAAAACAAATACTACATAATAAACTGTAAAAATGCTTAAAAGCATTATTGGTTTTGCACATTAAAAAAAAAACAGCTTTCAAATAGTGATTGCTTTAAATTAAAAAATAATTACACTCAGGGGAAGAGGAGGGGCAGGAAAAAAAAATTACACTCATTCACCCTTCTCCCTGGAACCACTGAGTACAGTTAGAAATCTGCTTCAGTAGTCCCAATTACAGACAACAGGCAAATAAATTAAGGTGGTGACAGGTGCGGCATAAGGAAAAAGGAAGAGGAATTTCATAGGCAGAACTCATAGACTAGACAGTAACTGGATAGAGAGTGAAGAGGGACAAGGTGATTGGTTATATTAATAAACTGATAGGAAATACAGAAAAATAATATGGCTGGAAATAAGAGAAACTAATTGAGTGTAGTTTAGAATGTATTGAGTGGTATCCAACAGGCACTGAAAATTCAGCTCTCAAGGTCAGGGAAGTCTGGAGATATGGATCTATAAAGAGCAACGTGAAAGCAGTGCTGGACTACATGAAATTACTGAGGAAGAACATGCAGAGCAAGGTACTAAAATTTCAAGAAAACCTCAGATTTAGAGGATGAGCAAAGAAAAATAAATGAAAGATGTACACTAACAAGCAGCAGTGAAAGAGGTGGGAGAACGAGAAGGCAGTGGGGTCTCAAAGCCAAGGGCTATAAAGTTTTCAACCAGAAAATAATCAGTGAAGAGTCCAGAGAAGATGAGGCTTTGGGGATTTTGCCATTAAGAAGTCATTAACCTAGAGTTTCTTTTTTTTTTTTTGGGGGGGGACGGAGTTTCGCTCTTGTTACCCAAGCTGCAGTGCAATGGCGCGATCTCGGCTCACCGCAACCTCTGCCTCCTGGGTTCAGGCAATTCTCCTGCCTCAGCCTCCTGAGTAGCTGGGATTACAGGCACGCGCCACCATGCCCAGCTAATTTTTTGTATTTTTAGTAGAGACGGGGTTTCACCGTGTTGACCAGGATGGTCTCAAGCTCTTGACCTCGTGATCCACCCGCCTCAGCCTCCCAAAGTGTTGGGATTACAGACTTGAGCCACCGCGCCCGGCCAACCTAGAGTTTCTTAACAGCCCATAGAGTATCAGAATTGGAGTACATCCAACAACACTTCTCTAGCATTCTGTAAGAACTGTAGTTCTCTACCCAGCAAACTTAAGATCTAGTTCTCTAAGCAATTAAAACACTGTAAACTGGCCTGGTGTGGTGGTTCACGCCTGTAATCCCAGCACTTTGGGAGGCCTGAGGTGGGCAGATCACCTGAGGTCAGGAGTTTGAGACCAGCCTGACCAACATGGAGAAAACTTGTTTCTAAAAAAAAAAACACCGTAAACTAGAAGAATATACCATGTTACCATAACTTGGCGCCACAAGTTGCTACTTTCCCATCTACCAATTTGTTTGCTTTTACCCTTCTCAGATCCAGAAAGAATTTTTAGTGATGGATCCTAGTGTTTAATTTCAGTTGATCCATCAACAAATTCTGTGGATTCTCTCTGAAAATTAATTCTAGACTCCAGCTACCTCTCATCGCATCTGCTGTTAACATCTTGAATATCATCTCTAATCTATTATTGCAACAGACTCCCAATTGGTCTCCCTGCTTCAGTCCTTGGCCCGCTATACCCATATCTTAACACGGTAGTCAAAATAATGTTTAAAAATATCTATCAGATCACATGAACTCCTCTGTTTAAAACCTTCCATTAGTTTCTTATCTCACAAAGTAGGCAAATCATATACAATCTGGCCTCTGGCTCATCCCCTAAAATTGTACCCCCTTGCTCACTGGTCCCAGCCGTACTGCCCTCCATGCTCTTTATCTAACACAGTGGCTTTCAAACCTCAATAGATATCAGAATCATCTGAAGAGTGCATTAAAATTCAGATTGCTGAGCCACACCACTGGAGCTTCTGATTTAGTAGTTTTGGAGTGAAGCTGAGATTTTGTATTTCTAACAAATTGCTGATGCTGCTGATCAGAAGGGCGCACTTTGAGAACTACTGATCTAACATATCAACAACAGTTCTGCCTCTGGCCCTTAGCATTGCCTGGGATATTCCTATCCCAAATAGTCACAATGCTTCATTTTCTTATTTCCTTGACTGACCTATCTTCTTATCAGTAGCACAGTTCTTAACCTACGGAAGCTGGCAGGTCTACCCCTACCTCTCCAAAGAAAGGCTCAGTTAGATCACCCTGCAGTAGAGTAGAGACCATAGAAGGCAAGCTTCTCCCATGTGCTGAGCTTCTAATCAACTCTGGAGACTCCTCCACTTAAATATGGACAGATAAATAACGAGACATTTGAGAAAGATACCCAGTGTAAAATACAGACACCACAACAAATAAACTAATGAAATTAAATTCACTTTCGGGGTAGCAGCAATATCCTCCTTGGCATCATGGCCGCCCTTAGACCCCTTGTGAAACCCAAGATCGTTAAAAAGAGAACCAAGAAGTTCATCCGGCACAAGTCAGACCGATATGTCAAAATTAAGCATAACTGGCGGAAACCCAGAGGTATTGACAACAGGGTTCGTAGAAGGTTCAAGGGCCAGATCTTGATGCCTAACATTGGTTATGGGAGCAACAAGAAAACAAAGCACATGCTGCCCAGTGGCTTCCGGAAGTTCCTGGTCCACAATGTCAAGGAGCTGGAAGTGCTGCTGATGTGCAACAAATCTTACTGTGCTGAGATCGCTCACAATGTTTCCTTCAAGAACTGCAAAGCCATTGTGGAAAGAGCTGCCCCAGCTGGCCATCAGAGTCACCAACCCCAATGCCAGGCTGCACAGTGAAGAAAATGAGTAGGCAGCTTATGTGCACATTTTGTGTTTAAATAAAACTGGCATCTTCCTTAAAAAAAAAAAAAAAATTCACTTTCATTCAGGTTTAATGGTAGTACATGATCAAATTAAACAGCAAATTTCATTTGTAGCATATTGTTTTTTAACCGGATTCCCTATAGCAGGGTCTATTTCAAAACAGACTGCCATTTTAAATCTATGTTTGAATTTAAACAAATTCTGGATAATGCTCAAGAACAATGCTTTTGAAATATTTTCTTTGAGGCAAGCTGGCCAAAACTTCACTTTTCCTGGCAAAGTTATCAAGTTGCTTAAATTCTTGTATGCTTAACTATATTTATCAGAGCAAAGTTCATTTTCCAACAAATGAAACTAAAGCCACCTTTTAACTCTCATTCCAAATAATTTCTTCTTTAAATGTTGCCACTTTGATTTCACAAGACCTCTTCATTCTCTTCTCCTGCCAAAAAGCCTCTTGGATTGCATTCTATCTACCTAGGTAATCCACCAGTTCTTATAAGATAATGCAACTAGAAAAAGATGAAACGCAAGCATATACTTTCACTAATTCTCAAAATTGCGGTAAGACTACATAAAAGTTTTTTTATTTTTTCTTCTTAAATATAAAAGCTAGAGATATACCTGACACACATTGCAGCTGGATGCCAAATGGTCAAGTGCTGAAATCAACATTCAGCTGACACCAAATGTCACCATTATATAAGGAAATACTGGGATACAGGAACAAATGTAAATCTTAGACCATATGCTCCAGATACCTGAGACCAAGGTATCAAGTGTTAGTGTTCCTGAAGGCAGACCATGCCACCATTAGTTACCAACCAAACTCAGGAGAGCCAAGGACTGGGTGTTTGTTGGAGGTGTAGACGGAGCTTGGATGTGGGGCTGGTGCATGTGTGAGGTCTTTCAAAGTGCAGTACATATTGCCAAGGGTGGAAGAGGAATTGGGGCAGGCCTCAGACCAGGCGATGGCTCTCTCCACAATACCATGTTCCAAAACAGAACCCAAGAAGTTAAAAAATTCTAAATCTGATCTTGGACTTCCATGTCTTCCTAAGAACATATTTGTCAAGGTAGAAAGAAAAATTGTTTCAAGTGTGTAAGTTTGTTGTATAATTTTAAACTATGTCGACATATGTTATATAGGTCTCCATTTGTATTGCTACCCCAAGTCCAGCTGTTAAAGTAGACCTGTCTAGAATGCTTATAAATATTTAACATTGTTACATTTATTAAATACAATAGTAACCTGGATTCATCTTTTCTCAGATTCTGATATGGCTGACTCACATTTATTATTCAGTTTCCAGCTTACACATCACCTCCTCAGAGAAGTCTTCCCTGACCACATTGTATGATATAGCCCTCAGGGGCCGGGCGTGGTGGCTCACGCTTGTAATCCCAGCACTTTAGGAGGCCGAGGCGGGTGGATCACGAGGTCAAGAGATCGAGACCATCCTGGTCAACATGGTGAAACCCGGTCTCTACTAAAACTACAAAAAATTAGCTGGGCATGGTGGCGCGTGCCTGTAATCCCAGCTACTCAGGAGGCTGAGGCAGGAGAATTGCTTGAACCCAGGAGGTGGAGGTTGCGGTGAGCCGAGATTATGCCATTGCACACCAGCCTGGGTAAGAAGAGCGAAACTCTGTCTCCAAAAAAAAAAATAAAATAAAATAAAAAAGATATAGCCCTCAGGAATCATCAGTCATCACATTACACTGTTTGACTTTCTTCACTTCCCTTACTGATATCCAAATTTATGCAAATTCCATCACAGCAGAGACCTTGCCTGCCTTGTTATTCATGCATAGACTAATGGATTCTTATTTTATTCCATGGGTTACATATAATCTGCTACTGTCATTATTTGTTGTATGGCTCCAATTTTCCCAGATCTGGCCAATATGTCACTCTCTATCCTTTTGTCATGTCCCCATTTTTTTTTTTCCTTTTTAGCCCTTCTTTTCTTTACTTTCTGGCACCACAAGATGTTCCAGGTTCATTGTATACTTTTCTGCTCCAGCCCAACGAGCTCCTATTATTTTTCAGTCCTTTTAATATTCAGTAATTATAATGACTACATCCTATAGACTAAAGTGAATTTACCAATGTAATTCTACTCTATGAGTTTGGCCCTACCTAAGTGGCTGGCTGATACCCCCAGACGTCATCTATAGTTTACCAGCTAACTACATGAAAAAGCATTAGATCTGTAAATAATATTTTTTTAAATAATGTTTAAACACTTTAAATATTAAGCACCAAAAATATTATGTATTGGTGCTAAGACCAAGACCTTAGCAGATCATTCTTATAAGGTATATGAGAAAGCTATTAGGTTTTTGTTACTGCTGTTATTTTTATTGGTTTTATAAACTCTGACAGAGTTATCCTATGCAGGTAAAAGGAATGTTCTGGAATGTGACTTATTCCACTATATGTAGAGCTGTGTGTCCTCAGGAAAGTTACTCAACTGTTCTAAGCCTCAATTCTACCTCTGTAAAGCAGAATAGTGCTTATTCCATGGAGTTGGTATCAGATATACCTGGAAAGCAGTTAGCACAGGAGCTGGTATATAATAAGAGCTCACTAATACCAGATATTTCATTATTGTCCTCTGCAGATATGGTTATATGAGCTTTTATTTTTTTTTCCTACTCTTAGGTCATGAATAAATGAAATATATGACCTTTTATAAGCTACATAAGGAAGGAGTTTACAAAGTTCCATAGGGCACATGAACCATTTTCCCTTAATTAAACCAGGTCAGCCACAGTGGCTCACACCTGTAATCCCAGCACTTTGGGAGCCCAAGGCAGGCAGATCACCTGAGGTCAGGAGTTTGAGACAAGCCTGGCCAACATGGCAAAACCTCATCTCTACCAAAAATACAAAAATTAGCTAGGAATGGTGGTGCATGCCTATAATCCCAGCTACTCTGGAGGCTGAGGCAGGAGAATCGCTTGTACCCGGGAGGCAGAGGCTGTAGTGAGCTGAGATCACACCACTGCACTCCAGCCTGGGCAACAACAAGACTCTGTCTCAAACAACAAAAAGATTAAGCAAACTAGTAATGTTAATACAAAATTATTTTATGTATTTCCTTTCCAAGCATCTGCTTTACTCAAGAAACTTTAGGAAACTCACAGTTGCCTGGGTGGAAAAGGGGGAGAGGAGAAGTTGGACAGAGGGTGGAGAGTCCTCCCATCAACAGCATAATTGTTCAGCTCCCACTTCTTGATTACCTTTAGATACATAAAATTTTTTTCCTAATTGATAGATGGATTAACACTATCTTGCTCTAACTTCTTTAAAGGAAAACAAACTTTACATACTAAAAGTATTTCAATTAGTAATATTATCTGCTGACTAAGTTAATTTTTGGCTAACATTTCGTAGGCAGACAGCTCCTTGAAGTGAACCTCACTAGCTTATGTAGTTTTAACCATAACTTGGTTCCACAAAGGCAAACCCCAAAATAATATTATTATAAGATGACAATGTCCTTTTGAGCTTCTAAAAGTAACTCAGAACTCTGCTAGTGGCAGTATTTTTAAAAATGTTTACCCTTTTTGAGTGACAATTTTGCAATATGTAGCTAAAGACTTAAAAGTACATATTTTTTTCTGAATAGTAATTACAAACCTGGAATTGACCCTAAAAAAAGAAGAATGAAAAAATGTATGTATAAGAATATTCATCCCATTGTTTATAATAGAATAATGTTAGAAGGAGCTTATACATCCAATAATAGATGACGAAGGAAACTAGTAGAGCTATACAACAGAAAAGTACATAGTCAATAATGACACAATTACTGATATGGAAAAATGATCATGATGTATTTTTAAATGGAGATCACAGAGTATAAAAAAGAATATATAGAAGTCTAGTTCTTTTTTAGAATACACAGTATGTATTTACATTATGAAATACCTAACTATATATAAGTATAGATATGCAGGTATAAAAGGATCTGTACTAAAATATTAATAGTGGTTATATCTAAGTAGATAATTAGGGGTAGCTTTAGAGTTTCTTCTTTATATTTTTTCCCTTTTCTTTAGTTTTTATAATAAGCATGTATTACTTCTACAACTGCAAAAAGTTTAAACACCAATCAATCAACCATTGAGCCATAAAGAATCTCTATATCTGATTTACCCCATGTCTTAAGCATTGATGATAAATGCCAGAATGTCCTGGCATCAAAGAAGGCAAGTAACTACTTCTTGGGATAAAGGAGAGCCAATAATTATCAGATGAGACAATCTTTCAGAGTATGATATCTGGCACAACTACTTAGCATAGCGCTGAAGTACAGAAGAGTATCAGAGAAAGAAATCTTTTCCTAATACAAATTCCCCTTAACAGAGAGAAATGGTATAGGTAATGCACATAATTTGAGGTAGGAAAAAACTTACTGCAGTGGATAATCTGGATGCCAATGTCATTTCCAAGTTCCCTTTGAGACCAAGAAGTGCAGGGACTAAAATGAAAACTTCTGTAACTTTTCTGAACACCTCCCAGTGCTGTAAGAAAAAATAAAATTTTCTGACACTCTTTAAAAAACAGTTTAGAACAAAGACATTTCTAAAAGTCTCAGCCTTTTTCCCAACTTGGCATCTACATTTTGAATAACTATACAGTTCATGGAATCAGTGAGCCCTTAGCTTAACCCCATTCTCCTGAGCTCTGAAGCTCTGAGTCACTTTAGAAGATGCAGTTAGAATTGGGAATCAGCTATGTTGCTACAACCCATTCTACATCCCTTATATTCTTAAAGGTTTTACTTTATCCTTTTATGATGAGAAGAGTTAGACTGGCTAGTAGTTAAGAGCACAGACTCTGGAACCAGATAATTGATTTGAATCTTGCTTCCAATACTAATTATAACTAACCCACTGGAAAACTATAGTGCTATTACTATCTAATTTCACAAATGAAGGAAGAAACACTCAGAGAGATTAAATTATTTCCCCAAGATCCAAAGATGGGACCTAGAATTGACCCCAGAAGTACTAAGCAATCCCATGTTTTGATCCCCATTTTAGGGTATGAGGCAGAGAGGTTAATAAAAACAGCACTGAACTGGAAATAAGCTTTGTGCTTCTAGCCAAGGATCTGTCATAACCTGGCTTCATAATCCTGGATGAGTCATGTATCTGTCTGATCTCAATTTCTTCATCCATTAAATGCAAATAACATCCACCCTGTCTGGCCTTTGGATGAATACCACGTATAAATGATGAGAAGGGGGGCGAGTCAGACATGCCTCATTATATCCTCTTCCCTTTAAAATTCAGGCACAACTAACCAACATTAACATTAAAACAGGGAGTTAAAGATTGACAAAACAGACTCTTTGTAGCAATGGGATACCAAATTCCAAACTGACTCTAGTATAGCATCACATGACAGCAGACCCTGAATGAAACTGAAGTATTTTGCCCCAAAATATATTTCTTCGACATAGTTTTTAATGGCCCTGCAAAGCTGTCTCTCGTGGGGAAAATCTACAGTCTATAGCAAAACTCTTTCCCTTTCCAGGTCTTTTCTTGATCCCGGAGAGATTAACTAAGAGTCTGGCACCTTTTTAAGCCTGATAAGAAACCATCTATTCTCTCTGAAGCCTGCTATGTGGAGGCTTCATCTGCATAGTAAGAATCTTGGTCTTTACAACCCCTTATCTTAACCCATGTATTCCTTTCTATTGATTCCAGGTCTTCAAATAATTTAATTCCTTAAACAAACTGCCAATCAGAAAATCTTTGAATCCACCTATGATCTGGAAGTCCTCATTTTAAGTTGTCCCACATTTCTGAACCAAACAATGTATACCTTACATGTATTGATTGATGTCTGCCTATAACTTCTGTCCCCCTAAAATTGTATAAAATCAAGCTGTAAACCAACCATATCGGGCACATGTTCTCTGGACCTCTTGAGGCTGTATCACAGGTCATGATTTGTAGCGTTGGCAAAATAAACTTCTAAATTGAGACCTGTCTCAGATGCTTTTTGGTTTACATATGAAAATTTAAAATAACAGATATTAAAGATACACATAAAGATGTTAAAGATACAAATATCTTAATAACACAAAGTGACATTTTTCAAGTGCTATTAAGAGGTGATTGCCCCAGTAACAGATTTTATGAGCTAGGCATATTAACCTTATGCCAAAAAGTATAAAAAATACACGTCTTGTCATGAATACCAAGACAGGTGAGAAAAGTGAAACTTCTATCTATCAGATAAATGAAGAAAATTTCAATTTGTTCCCAAACTTTCCCTAGGCTGTTCCAAATAGATGCAGAACTGGGGTCTAAAGAGACCTCAGAAAATGTTTATCAGATCAGTCTTCTGTAAAATCCTGGTTCAAAGAGTTCACAAAGGAAATCCCTCAAATTGGGTTCAAGCCAATCAAAGGTGGGCCTAAAAAAGCACTGGATGAAGGTTCAGTGGCACCTCAGATTATTAGTCTTAAAAACTAACCAGCAAACAATTTTGTCCATGTTTTATGATGGGCTAATGATTCTGATGTGCTAGTGAAACATGTATCTTTCAGAGACATTGGTGGAAATGATGATGATAATGAGAATACGAGATAAAAATATTAATAATATCTAACATTCATTGATTATGTTCCAGGCACTGTTCTTTAGATTCACTTAACCCTCACAGCAAACCTAAGAGATAGGTATGATTTTTATCAGATCCCAGATATAATTCAGAATACCTTTTACCTAGGTCATCAGGTGTGATACTGTCAAGCATGTATTTGGTCTTCAACCCTGTTTCCTGGCATGTATCTAAAATCGTTAGAATCTCCAAAGTGATGTCTTCGTGTATGCTGATTGATGACAGCCCCAGTTAGCTTCAGGATGGGGGCTGGTCACCAGAAAGACCAAGGCGTGATTACAGGATTGGGACTTTCAAATTCCCCCTGCCCACACAAACACCTTTGGGGAGGATGGAGGGACTGAAGCTTAAGTTGACCACCAATGCCCAGTGTTTTAATCAATCATGCCTACAAAATGAAGCTTCCATAAAAATCCAATAGGACTTGGTTTGGAGAGCTTCCACACAGCTGAACATTTGGAGGTTCCTGGATGAGGGAGCACGTAGGGAGGGCATGAAAGCTCCATGCCTCTGCCTCATACCCGCCCTACATATTTCTTCATCTGTATTCTTTGTAATATCCTTTATGATAAACACGTAAACATAAGTGTTTGCCAGGGTTCTGTGAGCTGCTCCAGCAGACCAATCAAACCCAAAGAGGAGATCATGGGAACCCCAACTTGAAGCCAGTTGGTTAGAAGTTCTGGAGGCCAGGACTTGTGTCTGGTATCTCAAGGTGGGGGACAGTCTTGCGGACTGAGCCCTCACCTGTGGGATCTGATGCTACTTCTAAATAGACAACATCAGAACTGAATTGGAGAACACTAATTCTGCACCAGCCAGTGTCTGCTGCAGAAGTGATTGCTTGCTTGGTGTGTGGGGTAAAACCCCCACACATTTGGTCACAGAAGTCTTCTGTGATGGTTACTGTGACGTAAAAGCATCATAAGCCATCACGCTTTAGACCTATTGAAATGCATGCCTGTAGGTTACTCCCTTTGGTTATCCTTTCCACATTCAATTCAAATGAAATACTTATGTGAGAATTACTATGAAATACTTAACAACAGCGTTGGTGTGACAACAATAAGAGCTATATGAATTACTGATTTCCTATCTTGTGCCAAAAGAATTCTACATTATTTTCTCCATACTAGTGAGAAATAAAAAATAAAAAAAAACTGAATCCCCCCCAAATCAAATGAAGGAACCCCCTCATGGCCAAGAGGAAACCCAGAGTAACCTTGAAAACTGAGTTCTCAGCCAGAACAGTATGGGAGATCAACCACACCCCATTACACTCCTTCCCTTGTTAACTGCCATTAGACTTTTTTCCCTAAGGGCTAAACAGAAATCAACCTTTTCAAAAGACTCCACAGCTAATCTTGGCTGCTCCCACCCACTTTTGTGGTTTCAACAAAACAACTGACCAGCATTCCTTCCTGATAACATGCACACTTTTCTCTTTTTACAAAATGCATGTAAATATGTACATTTGGCCTCCTCATTCAGCATAAATTCCTGTTTCCTTTTTCCCCCTCCTTTGAAGTGTCTGTTTCTGGCTTCTGACTAGAGGCTATGCTTCCCAGCCTGTCAGAATGGCCACCTTGCAGGCTGTAACCCTATATGAGAAATAAAGTTCTCCTTTCCAAATTTATGAACCTCATCATTCAGATGTTTACACCAGGTCGAGCTGTGGCCCACACCAGTAATCCCAACACTCTGGGAGGCCGAGGCAAGTGGATCACTTGAGGTCAGGAGCTCAAGACCAGCCTGGCCAACATGGTGAAACCCAATCTCTGCTAAAAATACAAAAATTTGCTGGCATAGTGGCAAGTGCCTGTAATCTTAGTTCCTCAGGAGGCTGAGGCAGAAGAATCACCTGAACCTCGGAGGTGGAAGTGTCAGTGAGCTGAGATGGTGCCATTGCACTCCAGCCTGAATGACAAAGCAAGACTCTGTCTCAAAAAAAAAAAAAAAAAAAGTTAACACCAGCTGATGCGCTTGCAGAAGTTCCCAAACTTTCTCAGTTCATGGCAGGCCTAGAATCTGAGAAATATTTTCATAGCATCCTTAGGACAAAAGGAACACCTAACAAACCTACATATGAAGTAGTTAGGTCTGAACAACTTAATAACTATTTATTTCCTAACAATTTAGTAACCATTTGAAGAACGTATACAGGTAAATTGAAAGAAAAAAATTGCATTTTACATCATTTTTTACAACCACAATTATTTACTAATGGGATATATGTACCTGTTGGGCAGTGCACAACTTCTCAAACGTTGGAATTAGAAACTATTGTGATATTGTGCTCGCCTGGAGCCAGAACCTGAGCAACGCTATTTTTATAAAATGCAAAACTGTTTTTAAATAAGTTGAAATGGCTGCCCCATTCTCCTCACAATAACTACTGTTCTTGGCCGCTGTAAATAGAACTGGTAGTTTGTTCTGCAAAACTATGTAAAGCTGCTTACCTTTTCTTATCAGTAACTGCTAAAATCTGTGACTTCTATCACCACCCAGACAATGTGTAAACAAATGTATATCTTGACTTCTGTAAACCACTGAGGTAACAAACAGAATGACAAAAGTCCCCTAGACCTTGGAATGTCCAGAGACCCCCGCCCTTGTCTCTGCCCAGGAGGTGAATCACAGAATCCCCTAGCCCTTGGAATGTCCGAAACCTTTTCATCCCCATCCCCACTCTTCACCCCCACTCCCAAGGTGGTTTTTCGGGTATAAAAAGTCTTGGCACCCTCCTTTTGACGCCACAGGTTGGAGAGACGTGAGTCTTCTGTGGTCGCCGGCATAATAAATGACCCTGTAATCTGGCATACTTTTGTCTTGGTGCTAACTTTCTACGCTCGGTCCAATACAACACTATCACCTTCATTTCCTGTTT